ACACATAAAAGTATCATACACCATAATCAAGTGGGATTTATCCCTGGGGTGCAAGGATGGTTCAACACGTGCAAATCAATCAATGTGATATGCCACATTATCAGGATGAAGGATAAAAATTATATGATCATCTCAATAGACGCAGAAAAAGCATTTGACAAAATTCAACACTCTTGAATGACAAAAACATGCAACAAACTAGGAATAGAAAGAAAGTACCTGAACACAATCAAGTCTAGATACATAAAAAGCCCAAAGCTGATATCATAATCAGTGGTGAAAAACCGAAAGCTTTCCTCTAATATCAGACCACACCAAAGATGCCCACTCATGTCATTTCTATTCAACATAGTACTTAGAGTCCTAGGTAGAGTAACTGGTCAAGAAAAAGAAATAAAAGGCATGCAAATCAGACAGAAAGAAGTAAAATTATCTTTGTTTGCAGATGACAAGATCTTATGTGTAGAAAACCCCAAAGGTTCCACAGAAAGACTGTTAAAACTTATAAACAAATTCAGCAAAGTTGCAGGACACAAAATTAACATACATTTCAGGTTTATTTCTATACACTGACAATGAACATCCAAAAAGAAAATTAAACAGACAATTCCATGTACACTAGCATCAAAAAGAAAAAAAAAAGAATAAAATACTTAGAAGTAAGTTTAACCAAGGAGCAAGCGGAGGCAAAAGGAGCAAGTGGTGACTGAAAACTACAAATTACTGATAAAATGAAAGAAAGAGATGGAAAGACAGCCTATGTTCACGGATTAGAAGACTCAATATTGTTAAAATATCCATAAATAACCAAAGTGATCTACAGATTCAACGCAATCCTTATCAAAATCCAAATGACATTTTTTATAGAAATAGAAAAATAATCCTAAAATTCATATGGAATCCCAAAGCCAAAAAAAAAAAAATCTAGAGAAAGAAGAACAAAGTTGGAAGCATCACATTTCCTGACTTCAAAACACATTACAAAGCTACAGTAATATAAACAGTATGGCGATGGCATAGAGCCAGACATATGCACCAATGGAAAATAGGGAGTCCAGAAATAAACGCATGCACACATGGTCAACTGATCTTCAACAAGGGTGCTGAAACTACAAAATATAGAAAGGACTGTCGTTTCACTAAGTGGTGTTTGGAAAACTGAATATCCACATGCAACAGAAAGAAATTGTATCTTTATCTTAGATCATACCAAAGACTCAAACACAAAACCTGAAGCTATAAAACTCATAGAATAAAATATAGGGGTAAAACTTCTTAACGCTGGTTTTGGCATTGGTTTCTTGGCACTAGAAGCAAAAATAGACAAGTGGGACTACAACAAACTAAAAAGCTTCTGCACAGCGAAGGAAACAATCAACAGAGTGAAAACACAACCTAAGGAATGAGAAAAAACATATATCTGATATGGAGTTAGTATTGAAAACATATAAGGAACTCACTCCTACAACTCAATAGAAAAAAAAACAAATAATCCACTTTAAAAATGGCTCAAAAACTTGAATAGACATTTCCCCAAAGAAGACATACAAATGATCAACAGATACATGAAAAAATGTGAGGTGAAACCACATGAGATACCACCTCACCTGTTAGGATGATCATAAAAAACAAACAGAAAATACTAAGTGTTGGTGAGAATGTGGAGAAATTGAAACTCCTATGCACTGCTGGGGGAATGTAAATTGGTGTGGTCACCATCGAAAACATTTTGAGGTTCTTCAAAAAATTACGAATAGAACTACCATACGATCCAGCAATCCCATTTCTGGGCTGTATTTATCCCCAAAAAATGAAATCAGGATCTCGAAGAGATATCTGCATTACCACATTCAGTGCAGCATTATTCAAAATAGCCAAGAGGTGGAAGCAACTTAAATGTCCATTGGCAAATGAACCGATAAAGAAAATATGGCATAAACATAGAATGGAATATTATTCGGTCTTAAAAAAGAAGAAGGGCCGGCCGAGTGGCTCAGTTGGTTAAGAGCTCGCTCAAGAGTGCGATCTCTGAGCAACAGCGGTTCAAGTACCGGCCCGAGCTGAGCAGCTGCTGAGCTGCCAACAGGTGGCAGGATGGCTCAGCTAAATAAAAAAAATTAAAAAAAAAAAGAAGAAGAAAATCATCTTATGTGCTACAATATGGATGAACCTTGAGGACATTATTCTAAGTGAAATCAGCCAGTCAAAGCAGGACAAATGTTGTATGTTTCCACTTATATGAGGTATCTAAAGTACTCAAACTTACAGAAGCAGAAAGCAGAATGATGGTTGACAGGCAGGTAGAGACGGAAATGGGGAGTTGCTATTCAATAGAGTTTTAGTCATACAAAATGAACAAGTTCTAGAAATCTACTATAAAATAATGTGCATAGAGTTAACAATACTGTACTGTACACTTAAAATTTGTTATGAGGGTAGATTTCATGTTATGTGTTTTTTATCACAATTTTTTTCTTAGATGAGATTAATATATATATTTTTTAAGATTTCATTGGGGAATTGGGGAAGGGAAACAGCCAAGTTGCTGTCCTTCAATCTTAGTTGTGGAGGGAGCAGCTAGCTCATCTCCAAGTCCAGTTGCCATGCTTCTGCCCGTCAGCAGCTCACAGCCACTCAGCTCAAGGTGCCGTGTTCAATCGTAGTTGTGGGTGGACATAGCCCACCATCCCATGTGGGAGTCAAACCGGCAACCTTGTTGTTAGGAGCACATGTCTCTCAGCCATCCTGCCACCTGTTGGCAGCTCAGCAGCAGCTCAGCTCAGGCGCAGCTCACTGGCCCATGTGGGAATCGAACTAGCGACCCTGTTGCTCAGAGCTCGCACACGCTCTTAACCAACTGAACCACTCGGCCAGCCCTTTATCACAATTTTTACAAAACAATGTGATAGAGAAGCTAAGAACATTTTGAAAAAAACAACAATAATGGAACGCTTGCTTTATTAGAAGTTAAAAGTTTTATAAGGTTTCTCTAATGAAAACCCTATGGTCCTAGTGCTAGAAAAATCAAAAGGGGAAAAAAGAAAAAACCTAAAAATACAAGTATTTATGAATATGTGCTATCCATAATCAGAGAAGAAAGGATTATTTAATAAATGGAGATGAGATAACAGGCTCATCTTTTGGCTAAAAATAGATTGTAAACTTATACATGTAATAAAATATAAGATTTTTGAAGATAAATTAGAGATATGTTTAGTTTACAACAGGTAAGGATTTTAGATTGGAAGACAGAGTGTAGAAAATAAAGAGTTTTTCTAGATCTCACTACGTCTTTCTAAGTCTTCATTCACATTAAATTCATATAAAATTTCCAGGTGAATTTAGAAAAACAATCTCTAATGTAAATATAAATATTCTCTTTTTCATTTTCCCTGAGACTGCTTTCTGCTAGTCATAAGCACAAATGAAAAGTGATTGACTATTCAGATAAGCAGTGGGATATTATTGCAGGAACAGCAAACTATTTTAAAGTCTTAAGATGTGGCTTAAGTCCAGCTTTGCAGACACAAATGGCAAAACGAATCATGTTTCAGGGGATGGTGTGAATCTACGAAGACTAATATTTTCAAAGAACATATATTGACATGAGAAAAGTTCCATTTATTCAACTAGTCAACAAACAGTGTGTCAGACGCTGGACTGGGTGTTAAAGATAAATAATGAGCAAGGAAGACAGCATCCTTGCCAGTCAAGAATCTGTAGTCTCGTAAACAGGGCAAACTAAGATTATAGTAGTGCTACACCTGATATAAAAGATACATGGAGACAGGTAAGTATATAGCAGGGGGGCTACCTAATCTACAAGAGTCAGAGAAAGTTTTGCAGGAAATGTGACATTTTAAGCTCAGATATGAACTATACATAGGAATTAGTCCAAACATATTATGGGTTAACGTGTAAGCAAACGGAGGACTCAGCATAAGAAATACCCAGGGAAGACAGGGTGCGTGGGGGGGGACCCCTAAAGTTGAATGATACTAATTACCTAAACACACCTCACAGAATAAGATTGAAAGTGCATAAAAGAAAATACCAGCCAGTCCTTAACTCTGATCATAGAATTAGAATTGTGAGTCACGGCTAGTTCTTTTCTATTTTTCTTTCTTTTCAGTTTTCTGAAGTAATCATACATTACCGTTTACTGTTTATTGATTTAAAAAGTACTAGTAAATTAACACTTTACTATTTACTAGTAAATAGTAGATGTTGTGTTTGGGAGAGGTTGTGTTTGTTGGTTTCTTAAGACCTAATTTATTCATTTGGAAAATAAGGCTAATAACATTTAACTTCACAAAGTTGCTGATTTGGATCAAATATGATAACATATGTGCAGGAAAATGATTTTGTGGCTGTGGCTGCTGGACCTGTGTATCAGAGCCACCAGATAAAAGGGTAATAAACAGAATTTGGGGGTGGGAGGTGGCTGCAGAAATTGGTACATCAGGAGGGTGACAATGTAGCCCTGGTGAAGAGGTGAGCAGGTGAGGAATGTGCTGTCACTCCAGTTTTGGGGACAATGACAACCAGTGCCAACCAGTCCTGGTATTTTTTTCTCACTGAGCTTAGACCCAATCTCAGCATCCTTCTCAATAATAGTCCAGGCAGCCACCGGCATAGTGGCATGCTCCTTAAAACCTTTTGCTATCTCTAGCCTTGGAATTCCAAATATGAACACAATCAACTCTACAATTCTTTTTAAAAAGGTAGGTTGGTTATAAAAATGTCTTCCTTAATTTGTATTTTAACTTTTTAATGTTCTGTTTTCTCTTAAGAAGTGTATTTTACAGAACTTCTGGAGGTTTTGATTGAGTCGTTTGCAAGCCTCTGCTACTCATTCATTATACCAGGGTACAATGAAGGAACTATAGCATTTTACAAATATCTTTACCTATACTTACAAATGGTGATGTCAGAGACACATGCATCTTTACACTATTGTTGCTTTTTCACAAAATGGGGAAAAAAAATGAGTTTCTTACCTTTCCTCTGGAGTATCTACATGAAATGTTCTCTCTATGACAGTGGTCCACTGGAGACATCTGATAATAAATGTGTTTGGCTTTGGTCGTTCTGTTTTCATTAACTGGCATTCTAGAAATGAAATCAAATGTCTCTTTGAATATACTTACACGTAAACCGAGAAATAAACAGTTGAGAAAAAGAGAGTTCTATCCTAAGCAAAACCACTGTAGCCTCACAGCACGCAAGGGCTCTCCACTCAAGGCTGTCACACCTTGACCTCCATCCGTACACCTTTCCGATCCATTACCCATTCTGGCCACGTGCCCTATGAACCAGACAAATTGGGCCATACAACTTCCCCCAAATACATCGTGTTGCCCTTTCCTCTAGCAATCCCTTTGCTCCAGCTGTTCTTGCTATCTGGACTGTTTTCCATCTATTTTAACCCTATCCATACGCAATCACCAACAGTCAAGAGAACACCTGTTTGGTAAGGTCCAGGTCAAATCCTACCCCTCCACGAAGCCTTTTATAACAATTGGGTCCTACGCTGACCGTTCCTGCCTCCTCCCCATATTCTCACAACTTAGTACTGTGTCCCTCGGTTTTCACTTAGCGTAGGCTATCTTATATTATTACTTATCACTTTACAAATTCCTATTCAAATCATCCATGCTTACTGTAGAAAAATTCATAAATAGGTATAACTAAAATTTAAAAACACACAGGTATAACCATTGTTAATGTTTTCATGTAGATTTCAGTTAATTTCTAAGCATTGCTTTAAAATGAGACTTTAACATAAGGAATATATTCCATAAGTGTTTTGCTCACTTAATAGGTTGTAAATATTTTTCATTTCATTAGACATACACATCATTGGGGTTAATAGTGGCATAGAATTCCACTGTACTCACATACCACAGTAAGCAGTTTATTTATGATCATAATCCATAAACACATAGAAGTGAATTCTTCAGATGTGAACAGGATGATATCTAACCACTTAAACATAGGTTACTACTGAGTACTGTGTCAAAATGGGAAATATGATCATGAACACTGTTTACTTTAACTAAATAAGAAAAACTAATTTCTAATTGAAGTACAATGAAACTGGACTTCGATAACAAATTTTAAACAATCCAACAAGAATGTACCTTAAACTGAAAATTCCAAGGGCAAGGTTTGTATTATTCGATACCTAGTACTGTGCCTAAACAGAGTAGGTCTCAAATAAATAAACACAAGGAAAGAATACATGACTAACATTAGCCAAATTCAGTAACGAACTTGTGTCTTGGTTAACTAACACCCCATTTCCAAAAACAACTAAAAAACGATCTATACCTAATAAACTAATTGGTTCAGACAAGGATCATCAATGGATGCTAAAATCTTTAGATGAATAACTACTGAAGAACTGAATATTGCATGGTGCCTATGTGTCAAACCACAGATTGTCTGCCAGCCACAAAGGGGAAAACTTTATAATGGAGCAACCAAGCTTTCATCACCTGAAACCAGAGAACAATGATAGCATCACTAATAGTTGGTCAACCAAATATGAAGTACCTCCTGATATGATGTGATAGGAAATACATAGAATCATCAAGGAAATAGTTTTGACAGAAATACTGAAAGTGAATCTAATGGACTCTTTAGATCTAACTTCCATTTTCCAGGAAATCCAGTGGAAAAAGTGAAATGACAGCTTGTAGAAACAATCATCAGAGAATTCCAGAAGAGGGGACTTTCCATAGGACAAACGCCTGGTCTCTTGAATAAGTGAATATAACAGAAAGAGGGAGGTGATATAGGACACGTAACTCTTCTAGACTAGAGAGGCTTAGAGACATGCCCATCAAATGCAATGTGTGGTCCTTAATGTATCTGTTTTAAACAAGCCAGATGAAAAAGATACTTTAGGCAACAACTAGGGAAATCTGAATATGAATTGGTATTAGATAATATTAAAGATTTCTACATTTTATTAGGTGAGATAGTGGTGCTGTGATTATGTTGGAAAATGTCCTCATTGTTCAGAAATTCATACTCAAGAATTCAGAGGTAAAAATGTCATGGTATCATAATTTAAATATTTTAACAAATTGGTGCAAATATGGTAAATGTTTACTGTGAAGTCTAGGTAATGGTTATATGAGAATTCAATAAGCTGTTTTCTCTATTTATCTATATGTAAATTTTTCATGATAAAAAGTCAAAAATAGAAGCCCTCTGCAAAATATTAGATTCTTTCCTGAAAGGATGTACCAAAATAAATTACAGAAGGCTTCAACTGTTGAATGTGGAAATAAACTTATTTTTAAAATATAAAATAATAGACAAATATCTAAGATAAGGACAGTTCTAGTTAAAGAAACTCTATCGCAAGTTAAGCTCAGACTATTTCATTGGACACTGAAATTCAAACGTATCACTGCAAAATAATCAGTTTATTTTGTATCAATTCAAAGCTACAACTATAATACCCAGGCTTCCATTTGCATCAATGGGACAATTTCTACTCATATATTCACCCCTTCATAGTCACTTGTCAGTGACACCACAGTGAATAAACAATACACAGATCAAGACGCAGGAGCGCTGAATGCCACCTTCTCCCCCACCCCCACCACAACTATCAGTTACTTGAAACCATTATCTACAAGAATGGCGTCTGCTCCATAGTCCTTAACCAATTAAACTCTCCTGACTTTAAAAGGTTTCATCCACAACCATAAAGAGGTCTCTAGGTCTTTACCATAGCACAAAACACTTCATTTTTAAATCTGGTTTATCTGATGGATTGCAAGCTAAATGAAGAGCATATTTTGGGATAATCAGCTCATTCGCCTTTAGCGGAAAAGAAAAAAAAATCACATCTTAAATCTTCTGCCAATTTAGGTTAGTAGGGAAACTCTGCTTTCCATTACATTTTTTCCAAAATGCATTCTTTTTTAAATTACAATAAGTCATTATTTTTGCATATTATCAGTTGCTTCGCCAGGCTAGTAAGATTTTAAATGCATTGTTTCTCACGGAATCCTCCCAATAAAGTTCTCAAGTATTTTCATCATTTCTATTTTACAAATATGAAAATAGAAGTAGTCTGACTTTTAAGTCACGTGTTCAAAATCATCAAGTTATTAAGGTTGTAGAACTGAGTCTCTTGTCCAGGTTTTCTAACTCTAAATTCTTGGCTCGTGTTACTATGTCACATCCTGTGTAAGGAATGTTAGCTGCTTAAAAGACAGAATAATAAAGGTATGTTTCTTTACAACAAACTTTATATACTTGACTAGTTTTCTGCAATTAAATTGATAGAAAGGGGTGACATGCAGAGGATTGAAATAGTTTTCCCCAAAGAAAATTGACCAAACTTATTGTTTTGTATTCAATCATTAGAAATGATTGCCATCTCTTGTGAGAATATTATGTTCAAAAGCCCCAATGCACTTTGATCATTTGATAATAAGAGAGGGAAGTTCTAGGTGGTAGACAAGTGGTCAAGCAGTAATACCGTTTCAGGGTTTCTTTATAGAAATTACATTTGAAAAAATATCTTTCTGCTAATATTAAATTTTTGGCACAAAGCTGAGAGCACATTTGAAATTTTTATTGGTCAAAACGTTAAAAAAATCTAACATGAATTAACATGTTACTACAGTTGCCTGGAGGCTGGTATCAGGCTTGTTCAGGCTTGTCAATCTAAGCCAACCTTGTTGATTCCTTAGTCATAATAAACTCATCTATAAGAAGAGCCATTAGTAGGAAAAATGTAACTTCTGAGAGGCACAGGTTTCCAAAGAATCTACGAGGTAAACAGTAAATCTGTAAACAATACAGGCTAACAAAAATATTTTAATAAAATGTCCCATTTCCTCAGGATGATTGTGAAGCTCTCGAAGGAAACAATGCATATGAAATAATGCTATATAAAGAGAGTATTATAAGTTTATTTCTAGTTACTCTCGAAGAGTATCCTATAGAGATAGGAACTTTATCAGTGTGCTTTTGGAAGCAGTAACTGTTGCTGGTTGGATGATTCAATTATCCTGAACTATTCTGGCATGTTTCAAATGTCTAAAAATGTAACCATAGTAATAGATTCCGAGTGCATGGGTTGGGGGTGAGGGAGAAAGACAATGACAAATTGGTCCAAAAGGACGCTGAGACTTCATAGTTGGAAGACTATTGTGCTGACAATTAGTAACAGGAAGCAGAGCACAAAACAAATGAATGAAAAAAGCTGAACTTGCAATGAAAGACCTTATTATAGTGCAGAAACATTATTGTAATAAAGTGGCAATGTACTCGCCTCTATACAGCTTTCAAACAGGCACCCTACTCTCTGTCCTCTTTCCCTACGTTTCATTTTTTCATTAGCATCTGCTTGATTATGTATTATTTCCAACCCAAAAGAATGCCTCTGTATCTTCCTGAAATTCCAAAGCTTAAAGGTCTTTCCAAACCACGGTGGCCTTGGGCCTCATGTAACTTTACTCAAAATACAATAAATACTCTTAAAGCAACAAGAAGATATAGGGGGAAAAACTGAAAGGCAGAGATTTAGTGTATAACTGCAGAGAGAGCAATAAAACATGTGCCCCTCAAGTCCAGTTTGTTAAAAATGTAATAATCATATAATCCATATTAAATATCCGGATGATTCTGTCCCTAAAAATTAGTGTTTCTCCTATGACTTCTGTGATGTAATTAGAAGAGCATAGCTGAAATCTTCATATCCTAGTGAGTCCTCTGCATTGAGGTTCAGTTTCCTTAAACAGAAAGGTCCAAAGCTCTGAATCATACCTTCACGTACTAGGTGAGAATGACAAGATTTGATCCATGATACTGTCATATAAACTAGTCTAGAGACATGGAAAGCCCACACCTCTGCACTGCCCATGCTAGAAAAACCTCTTATCTCAGGGGCCTAAGGCAGCCAGAGACACTTTAGGTAAGCAGTTAAGCAGTGGTGTGGAAAAAGCACTGGCCTTGAACCTGAAAGCTGTGGGTTGAGCTTCCAGTTCCATCCCTTAACAGATGCATGACGACTGGCAAACTCCATGAGCCTAGTTTCCCCAGCTAGAAGGTAGACACTATGTATCCTGCAAAAATGCTAT